AACGTCGATTTTTGTCGATTGCTTAATCGATTATATTTTTATGGTTTCACACTCGATCAATTTTTTCAATTAAGATCACTTTCATTAAGTTGTTCTCCGAACAAATATATAATAGACAAACTCATCTTGGCATTACCTCACTTAATCAATCTTAGTCATTTGAAACTCAACTCTTGTACTACGACAAAGGACGAGTTAATGTATATTTCAAGAAGGCTTGCTTTAATAAGTTCTATATCAAGTCTACCGAAGCTCACTCATTATTGTTATTGCAATAATAATTCATTTCCAATAGGGTTCTTAATGTCACCTGCTCAATCAATAATGTCTTTAAAGCTGTCGTTAGAAGTTTGTCAATTTGATTTAACTAGTATATTGCAACGGATGTCTAGTTTGTGTCTTAGAATAGACCAACACTCACCATACCCTTAAACGTATAGAAGTTGGTGGACAAGTGAAATGAAATTAAATAATCCACTTTAGGATTCATTTATGCTTTCTCTTTCGATAAATTATCTTGAAACTGGATTGGATACAAAATCAAATTCATGTGCTCGAATCCAAACCTTAGCTCCCAATTCCAATCCCAAAGGTTTCGTCCCAAACCCAAATCCTATTCAAGATTTGTTGCATCCCTAAGTCCGATCATGTTGTTAAATTTGATCGAGATTCGACACAGGATGCCATTGATTATCTACTATTTGAGCTTTTTTTTTACTTACTTCTTTGAGAATCTTAATCGACAACTAAGCCATATTTAACCATTGAACTGCTATGAAATAATATGTAGCAATCTGACTGAATTTATAGAATGATATGCTTATGTTGATTGACATTTTTCTCTGAATGACTAGTACAGAAATCGAGAAAGAAAAGTACAAAATCCAATTCAAATGAAGCTTTTTCGATTCCGGCTATTGAATTCCAACCCCATTCAAATCTGATTTCAGCTTTCTGGATTCGAGACTGATTCTATCTCAATTCTGATCAATTCTAGTATTCAATACTGCAATTCAAACCAATTCTAGCGTATGACTTAAAATTGAATTGAAAAACAAATGGAATTGATATCTTCCTATGTGTAATCGTTTATTTCTCATTACCATAAGCATCACCATGACTGTTTCGGTTTCAATTTCAACTATTGCGTTTAAAGTTAATCAAGTTGGATAAATCCAACAAATGATAAGGTCATACAGAAGTATAAGCAAAATAAGAGCACTACTTCCTATTCTTCCTCTTTTTTTTCGATTCTCTTTATGACTCTTTTGATTTATAAATGGCTCGTGATTGAATTGCCGAGGTAGTATTTGGCGAACTATTCAACGGTGAGTTGTTTTCAGTTTTTTATATGACCTGAACTTTCCACTTTTCTCAAAGTTCGTGCTTTGAGATACTACACTAGAAATCAAATATGAATATAAGCTTTTGTATCCGAAAACTTTGCATTTCATCCCTACCAACACTGATTGCTTTTAATATCAAAGGAAAAGTGTCAATTTAGATTTCAACGATTTATTAAATAAATCAACAGATGTTAAACAAAACAAACAAATTCTTATCAAATTATAGAAAGCAAAAAAGTAGGACTCCTGATTTTAGTCTGCTATTCTACGGCGAGTGAAGATAGTCTAAAGAACTTGATCTGTTTGAATCTTGGCTAAAATAGAGAATAGATTATTTTCTGACGTTTTATCGTTATAGATTTTTGCTGTTGAGACTGATTGTCGGATTAATATGATGGTGTAGATTTTTATTTTGTGAATGCTGTTGCTCTTATTGCCTTATTTTACATTATTCGAAGATATTTTCAAATTTTGTCATTTGCTGTTAGAAATATGGATGAACCATATGCAATAAGTGATTGGACAAGGGACTTGAACAGGTTTAGCATTGTGGAATGGTTAGAATGGGGAGTAATTCTCCAGAAAAATCGGAGAAGACCAATTTGTAGTACTACTTGTGTCTCTATGTGTTTTGTATAGCTTCTTCATTCGAGTTTGTGATCGAAGAGGATGTCGAGGTACCGCGCTGATAGTTGAGATTTCACAATTATATGGTTAACCTCAAATTCGACTTTGTTTTTCTATTTTTTTCTTGGGTGAGAGCTAAAGTATATCAGTTCGGGTTCGGTGGACTGAATTTTCAGATTCCATGACTGGCACCATCTTTGGAATTCATTCACTGATGATACTTGAAGACGATGACTGAGATTGGTGCTGGTGTTTGAAGTACTCTATAAAACAGTTTCGTCAGCAAATAGACCATATTTACTATGATCATTAATATCATTCATGAAATCACTTGTGTAAACTACGTACAATAGTGATGATAATGATGATCCTTGAGGTATTCCACTCTTTAATATAATGTGAAAATCCAAAAGTCACTACAATAGAAGCCACTTCTTATCTAGTACATCAAGGTTCATCTACCTACATCTGTCAAGCTTTGCTGATTTGTTATATGTGTTTAATGTAAATTCTCTTAAATTTCACTGATCTGTTACTAGTATTTGTATAATATGAGTTATCAAATTGATTCGAAAATGGCACTGAAGAAAGTTATGTAGTAGTCGAGAAACCTGATCTAATTGTAGAACTTATCTCCATTTTATATTGTCTATTATCATTTTTTCCAATTAGTCGAGGAATCAGGATTAAGTACTGAATATGAGCTTTTGTTTTTCCGTCTTCAATAGTGAAAAAAAAAGGCGAGAGTTGGGTCGCTTCAAGAGTATTCCGAAATATTACAGAGCAACAACATCTGTAATGATTGATGCCGCACATTCAGTAACGAGGCTAGGATTCGACCAGAGCTTTTGAGTTGATATTTTGTCTATATATAAAATCTGATGAGACTAGAAAAAAAAATTAAAAGGATAATGGTCCATGGGCTTTCCTTTTCGATTAATGACCATTTTATTGAGTTAATCACCTATGACAGAGAATACTGAGTAAAATCAAACTGTTGAATTCCAATCTGAAATTTTCCCCACATGCAGATCTTAGGCATTGTATGTTAGCCTGCACGTCTCAACTCAAACAAATATTTCTTTCTCTAAATACTGCAATTTTAAAAGAATCAATATTATACTATAAATATGAACAAAATCAACCTTTTGTGACAATTCAGTATTTCGGGAAAGAAGTATTTGTTTGAACTGAAACTTTCAGACTAACATAGGGTGCCTAAGGCGTGCATGCGAGCAAACTTTCAGGTTGAAATTCAATAGTTTGATTTTACACGATATTCCTTGTCATAGGTGATTAACTCAATAAAATGGTCACTAATCAAAAAGGGAAATCTATGAACCATTATCCTTTTGAGTTTTTCTAGTCTTATCATATTCTATATATGGACAAAATATTGGCCCAAAAGCTCTAGATCACTTCGAAATCTGCCCTCATAAATTATGTGATCAGCAGCAAGATAAATAGTCAGTAGCATTTCACAATTCTTGCTGAGACACGATAGATCCTACTAAAAATCAGCCTTGTTCAGCGAAAACGATCAAGTAACGATACGAAACAAGAGAAATTGTCGTTGTAACTAGATCTGAGACAACTTTGACTTATATTAATTAATTGTTTTTCAAAAACTGATCCAGTGACCAGTTCTTTTTTCTTTAAGAAATAGAATTCAAGTCTTAATTCTTTTTCAAAAATTGAGTCTGTTTTCGACCTGTGATAGTAGACACTCATAATTTCAAATGAACAAATAAAAAATATTGTCTAGTTACCAATCGAGAGAAATAGGGTGTGGGTGTCGAAAAGGGTATCATACTCAAATCACATTCACACCCGTCCATATCCTCTTTTTATTATTATAGATTCCGGTTATGAGTCGAGCCAAAGATCGATATATATACATATAGAATCTATTCTACTAGTTCACATCGTATATATGAAATCATTCGAAAGTCATATAAATAGATACACAAAAAATAAAATAAGGATTTTGTTTGCGTTAGTATCTATACTTTCTAATGTTAAACGATTGTCTCTTTCGATATAATAGTAGTAGATAGAAGTCACGTTATTTTAGTCCGGAGAAAAGCAGATCTTTTTTAATATCTATTTTTTCCATTTTCGATATTATATGGTTTATGAAAAAGGGAAAAAGTGAGTTCCAGATCCTAATGGGCCTCATATGAATTGACCACTAGAATTCTCTTTCTTTTGTTTGTTCTAAACAGAATTGATTTAATGAAAACGATGAATGTTAAAGAAAGAATATCTGATTTGAAAAATATTGTTTCTTGAGAGGACTAGTCGTATTTGAATGATGAATATATAATTAATATCAAGGATTTGATTGACGATTATTGCAAATTTTTAATATTAGAACACAATAACTCTTTTAAAATAGGTTTGAAATTCATTGCAGTTTCGCAGGAGAATTCTATATTGGACTGGATTGGTAAATCTGACAATCCCTTCTTTATGCAGCATGCTTTGAACATTTCTTTGTCTTATCGATTCCTCCGAGTTCATCGATATGATTCAACGCCGGACTCCATTTTGCAGCTCTACCTACTATATATAAAAGCTGTGACATGCATACAATGCTATCTTGTAGTTCTTTACTTAAAACAATCCATTTCCGTTAGAGATTTGGTAGCATTACCGATTAAAGAAATACTGCAAAAGTGACAATGTCCATCCACTAAAATTTAGCTAAAGCAACAATTCATTTAGTATTAAAGTTGAAAAGGTGACTTCATTCTCTAGAAATTCATCTCGGCATATCTGCCCTTCTGAAAGCAAATAGTCTTCCTTTCGACAGAAATCTCTCGATAAAACATTTGTTTCAAATTAAAAATTGTTGACGTAATTTTCGACAAACTCCAATTGGTACAGATAGTATATTTACTCTCTTACTCTTATAGTTAACATTTCTTTATCACAGATAATAAAATCCCATTATAACTCTCCGTTCAAATTAATATTATTCTTTATTAAAATAGCTTCGAATCCAAAAGCAAAAAGCAAAATACAATGTTGCGAATAGCGTTATTATCTTTAATATTATTCGTAACATTATCTTCAATATCAACATCAATTATACGTAAAACACGTTTACGTCGACAATTGGATCCAGAATATTGTCATGCTATTGAAGGTTTCGAATGTAAATGTTCATATTATCGTGTAACATGTACTATTGATGATGAATTACCATCACCAATAAATATTTTAGACGACGAAAAACAGAAATATAAATCAGTTGAGTTAAGTATAAGAGTTGTACATGATATTATTGTTAATGATCATACATTTGAACCGATCAGAGAGTTATACAAACTTGATGGGGATCATTTAGAATTTCGTATTAAATTTGAACAATTTACTGCACTTAATTTATCATCAGCTGGAATTTTTAATCGAGTATTTCCAGATAATTTATCACAAAATGCACGAAAATATTTGGTAAAACAAAACGAATCAAAACAATTCTTTCAAATTTTTTTGTCTTTATTTCTTTTTAGACATTAGAAATATACAACCCAGAAGTTTCACCAAGTGATGATCCAAATTTATTTCAAAATTTAAATGCAGATCGATTGGAAGTTTATACATTATATCCATTTCATGGTACATTTCAACAATTATTTAACGGTTCGAATATCAAATACTTACGTCTGAGTGGTGGTGATATTCGTTCTGATGTTTCACAATCATTTACAGGCACTATTGGTCGTTTAGAAGTAGCTAAACAAGTTAGTGCATTATCCGTACAAGGTTTTCCTGTTTATCCAGCACATGAATTCATCATAAATGCATTTTATGTAACTGATTTTAATCATGAACATCCACCAAATTATGTGAATTTAGCTGAAATACGTGTTTATAGTCCTGATCGTATACCTGCAAATGCTTTTCGTCAATTTCCTAATATACACACTTTATCAGTTTCAACTGATAAAGATATTGATCCACATGCATTCGATGGTTTCACTCATTTAGAAAAATTAACAATTAAAAGTGCAAAATTAAACTTAGATATTTTCAATAGTTTACCAAATCTTAAAGAATTTGAAACAAATATCGAAAAATTAGATGAAAAAACACAATGTAAATTAGTTGAAAAATTAGCTAATGGACAAGTTGCTGTTCAAGGTAAAATTTTATATAATAGAAAATAAAACTTAGAAATATCTTTTTTTTTGTTTTTTTTAGCTATTTCAAATGGTCTGGAATGCACATGTGTATTAGCTTATTTGCATACAGTCGTTGAACGAGCACCATGTTATGCACAACATTGTGAAAATTCATCATGCGATGCACAACTTTGTGAAGATTCATCATGTGATGCAATTAAAAATAATTACAATGCAAACTCAAGTACATTTAATGTTCCACCACCTATTCAACGTTCAGATGGTACAAATGCTTTACGTAAACGTGAACCACGGGTGTATACCGTACCATTTCAAATAGCACCTCAAGATCAAGAAAAGTTTCAACAAGGTACATCACAACAACTACAACAATCACCAGAAGCTGATTCTCAAAGACCTGATGCTGATGAACAAAATTTATGGGAATCAGATGAATCTTTTAATCTCGGAGGTACGTTAAACATACGTCGAGATATTCTATCAAACTTTAGCTGCTGTAGGGTACGGATGTGGGTGTGAATATTATGTTCATCTATCACATCCATACCAGCACTCAAATACTAAAGACGGGAATCGGGTGACCCTGTGTGTGAATATGGTAATTGGTACGGCGAAACCGAAGCGTTTGAAATAACTGAACTGATCGGTTTTTGTCAGTTTTCATCGGTTGAAAGAAATTCTTACAGACATGTCATTGTTCTTCGATAAAACATATGGACAATAAGATTAAAATCCCTTGCCAAAATACAGATACACAGTACTGTTACAAAAGCTATTAGTTTTTTGCTTCTCTTTGTCTACACTTTTTCTTATTATTTTAATCGAACTATATTCGCTCCTTAAAAATTACAATTAAAAGCATAGATAGAACTGATTTGACATTTTTGAACACTAGCAGCATGTATGTCGAATTAATTCAGAACGTAAATACGTCTATATTTATATATATGTACTTGCTAATAATACATATTTTTCAATTGTTAAGTGCAATAGAAATAGCAAATCCTAATATGCAACGCGTAAACGATGGATACTTTATTGCATCTGCAAAATCGAATTATATTTCTTCTATTCAATTCGCTAGCTTGTGAATACCAATTCTATTTTTCACATAGTATAAATACCGGTGTTTAGTGTTTGAGAAAGTATACTTTATCATTCATTACAACGTAATATGAAAAGAAATGCCATTCTTCATTGTCGTTTTGCTTGTCGATTTGGATTCCTGGTCTGAACAGAATTCATGTTCAGTTGGCAAATATCTTTATGAAGATCAATGTATTTTATGTACGCCTGGCTACTATTGTCCAGATGGTAAAAATCGTATAACTTGTCCACAAGGAAAGATTGCTCCGGGATACGGATTCTCAGTTTGTAAAGAGTGTCCTGAAGGATGGTATTCAACATGCGATACACAGGAAACATGCATCATGTGTCCGAAAGGTTTTTATTGTCCAACAAGTGACCAAGAGCCACAAGCATGTCCCGTTGGATATTATAGTCACTATGCTGCCACTGAGTGTACGAAGTGCCCTTCAGGATATTATACGACCTATACAAATTCAAGCTATTGTTTTCAATGTCCAATGGGCTACTCCTGTACGGAT